CACCCTAACCAATGACCTAATGCCACCAATGCAGCAGGAATGTTCTGTTTTGAGGCTATAAAAATTTGCTGTTAACCCTTAAAAGGCTCAGTTCTCCCTTGACCCGGCCCTCTCTTCAAATGTCTTCTCCCATTCTAACAAACTCTATTCATTTCTCATTCTTCCTCATGTCTAGAAATCCTTTTCCAACCTGGGCTCAGATCACAACATAGTCCTTCATTTGAATGGCTAGGAAGTGGAATTTCTGGGCTACTGAGACCTCTGGTGGTGCAACAAGAGCGACTCATGCTAAACATTTCCCTTCAGCCTGACCAAAGGTCAATCACACACACACACACACACACACACACACACACACACACACACACACACACACACACACACACACACACACACACACACACACACACACACACACACACACACACACACACACTCTCTCCAGTACTCACAAGGAGCATCTGGAAAGAAAAAGACAGATCTCAAGGGCACTTCGTCTTCATGGTAGAGCCAGAGCAACAGCAGAAAGACACAGGGCTGATGCCAGAAGTGAGAAAGGATCAACTCCAGAGTAAGGCCCCACTGGGAATGGATGCCTGGATAGTGGTCTGGCTGGAGAGGGTAACATCTAGAAATCTTCATGGAGGGAAGAGAAGAGGAGAAGAGTTGGCATCTCCACAGAAGGTAAGGCTCAGGCGACATTGTTTCTATCACCACAAACTCTGGGGTCTGAGACTGTGTTAAAAAGGGAGACCAGAGGGGTTCTAGGGTCCTTTATCTGTTGGGTCTCCATGTAAGGATTTTGGTTGATTGGCTCTATCATATTTTAATCAGAAAGTATGTGAAATGATGGTGTGAATAGCATTTAGCAAGTCATATCCAAGAGCCTGAGAGAAAGTGCAGATTAAAAAAAAAAGTGATGATGTGAATAGAATTTAACAAGTCATATCCCAGAGCCTGAGAGAAGTTGCCCAAACAAAATGAAGAGGGCATTCACACAGTTAGAGCTGGCATGGGGGAAGATGCAGAGTCACCAGCAAACACCCCATCCTGTCCTGCCCCAGCCCCTGCTAAAGGAAGGATACCTCCCTGAGTCCTGGCTTCCTGTCCTGCCCCACAGTGATGGCCTGACTACCCAGAGGGACTGTGGTCAGCTCCTTTTGCTGTTTCAGGAAGCAACTGTGGGGGAAACAGTTCCATTTCAATGAATGAAGTCCTTATGATTACAACAGACTCAGGAGGGACCCTTGTCTTCCTGAAGGGCACCAGCTGCACTTGCCCTTCCACCCAGATGTGCAGATGGAAATTTCTCATGTCTTGTTATCTGGCTCAAATTTGAATGTTTTAACTGCCAATGTGTCAGACAGACTGTGAGATCTGCGAACCGTTTAATCTAACTATGTCAGTTGTCAAAGCAGAGGCTGAAGAAGGAGAAACTGATCCACCAATCCCCAGAACCCCAAACAAAAACATCTTTAAGGCATTAAGAGCCTGCTCTCCATCAGCCTCCAAGGGGAGGAGTGGTGGCTGGGATCAGAGTGCTGTCCCACTCTGTATGTATATCCCCTCTTACAAGGGGCACAGAGCTCTAGGAGAGATTCCCACCTCACCTCCATGAGGCTATTGATGGACCTCCACCCTCCTGAATCTGTGATCTAAAGGTACCTGATTCAGCAAACACTCCTCCACTTCTCCCCACAGCTCCTCACCCTTGCCCCTTCCCCAGCACTGTCTGGCAACCAAGCCTTTGGGTTACAGAGATAGTCTGGCAACCCATAAGGTAGTCTCAGTCGCAAAGCACACTTTGTTTTTGGTCTCTGGAGATTTATTTTCTAGCTAACTCAACAATGCATTAAAGTGAAGATGAGTTCAAGTCTATCCAGCACATTCAGGAACTCTGTAACGGGAATTTATGCCACACAGTGTTCCTCCCACATATTTTTAAAAACTCATTCAGCTTTTCAGTGTGTGGAACAGTTTGGAGAGAAAAAAACATGCAAAAACAGAGACCTGTTAAAGAAACTATTGCAGAAAATAGATCAAAGAGGATAATATTAATAACTTGAAGGTGAGTAATGGTGGCACAGAAAGAAATAGATGGATCTAGAAGATATTTAGTAAGTAAAGTCAACAGATCTCTTCAAGAAAATCAGAGATACCAAGGGAACATTTCATGCAAAGATGAGCTCAATAAAGGACAGAAATGGTATGGACTTAACAGAAGCAGAAGATATTAAGAAGAGGTGGCAAGAATACACAGAAAAACTATACAAAAAAGATCTTCACAACCTAGATAATCACAATGGTGTGATCACTCACCTAGAGCCAGACATCCTGGAATGTGAAGTCAAGTGGGCCTCAGGAAGCATCACTACGAACAAAGCTAGTGGAGGTGATGGAATTCCAGTTGAGCTATTTCAAATCCTGAAAGATGATGCTGTGAAAGTGCTGCACTCAGTATGTCAGCAAATTTGGAAAACTCGGCAGTGGCCACAAGACTGGAAAAAGTCAATTTTCATTACAATCCCAAAGAAAGGCAATGCCAAAGAATGCTCAAACTACCACACAATTGCATTCATCTCACATGCTAGTAAAGTAATGCTCAAAATTCTCCAAGTCAGGCTTTAGCAATACGTGAACCATGAACTTCCAGATGTTCAAGCTGGTTTTAGAAAAGGCAGAGGAACCAGAGATCAAATTGCCAACATCCAATGGATCATTAAAAAATCGAGAGAATTCCAGAAAAACATCCATTTCTGCTTTATTGACTATGCCAAAGCTTTTGACTGTGTGGATCACAACAAACTGTGGAAAATTCTTCAAGAAATGGGACTACCAGACCACCTGACCTGCCTCTTGAGAAATCTGTATGCAGGTCAGGAAGCAACAGTTAGAACTGGACATGGAATAACAGATTGGTTCCAAATAGGAAAAGGAGTACATCAAGGCTGTATATTGTCACCCTGATTATTTAACTTATATGCAGAGTACATCATGCGATATGCTGGGCTGGATGAAGCACAAGCTGGAATCAAGATTGCTGGGAGAAATATCAATAACCAGCTATGCAGATGATAATCACCCTTATGGCAGAAAGCGAAGAACTAAAGAGCCTCTTGATGAAAGTGAAAGAGGAGAGTGAAAAAGTTGGCTTAAAGCTCAACAATCACAAAACTAAGATCACGGCATCCAGTCTCATCACTTCATGGCAAATAGATGGGGAAACAATGGAAACAATGACAGACTTTATTTTTTGGGCTCCAAAATCACTGCATATGGTGACTGCAGCCATGAAGTTAAAAGGTGCTTGCTCCTTGGAAGGAAAGTTATGACCAGCCTAGACAGCATATTAAAAAGCAGAGACATTACTTTTTCAACAAAGGTCTGTCTAGTCAAGGCTATGGTTTTACCAGTAGTCATGTATGGATGTGAGAGTTGGACTATAAAGAAAGCTGAGCACCGAAGAATTGATGCTTTTGAACTGTGGTGTTGGAGAAGTTTCTTGAGAGTCCCTTGAACTGCAAGGAGATTCAACTAGTCCATCCTAAAGGAAATCAGTCCTAGGTGTTCATTGGAAGGACTGATGTTGAAGCTGAAACTCCAATACTTTGGCCACCTGATGCGAAGAGCTGACTCATTGGAAAAGACCCTGATGCTGGGAAAGATTGAGGCCAGGAGGAGAAGGGGACGACAGAGGATGAGATGGTTGGATGGCATCACTAATTCAATGGACATGGGTTTAGGTGGACTCCCGGAGTTTGTGATGGACAGGGAGGCCTGGCGTGCTGCAGTTCATGCGGTCGCAAAGAGTCGGACACGACTGAGCAACTGAATTGAATTGAGCGACTGAACTGAACGGAACTGAAAGTCAACAGAATTTTAGATATCCAAGAAGAGATATCTAATGGGAAGTTTTTATAGAATTCAGTACATCTCAGGCTCTCCTATGGTTTGCAGGTGATTTGGGAAGTCTTATTTTTAAAAATTGGTAACTGAGTTCCCAGAGATACATACCTGGGAGAAAGTGCAAAATGGGAAGAGATGAAGATCCTAGGCCCCAGCTTCGAGGAATATCAACATTTTAAGACCTGGAGGTACAGCAAGCAACAGAGACTGAACAAAGATAAGCAAAAGACCCAAACGAGAATGAGACTTTTGTTGAGGCTGAGAAGCAAGCATTTCCAAAGGGAGGGACGAGTTAGCAAGTGTCCAGCAATACAGAGGTCAAGAAAAACGAAAACTAGGCATTAGTTTTGGTGAGAAGAGCAGAGAATGCTAAAGGCAAAGCCAGCGGATGTGAAGTAGAAGTAGAAAACAGACCCCACTCTTTAAAGTTTAAAAGTTTGATTATGAAGACATTAGCAGAGGAAGAACAGTGCTGGAGAAGGATTATTTTAAGTAGAAGAGCACTTGAGGACGTTTAAATGCCAACAGCAAGGAGCTGGAACAGGCAGAAGAAAAGGTAAAATAATAGGCTGGGTAGAGAGAAATCCATTGTACCGCTGGACAGATTCTCTTGAACTACTGATCCATCTAACTCAATGCTGCTGCTGCTGCTAAGTCGCTTCAGTCGTGTCCGACTCTGTGCGGGTGACCCCATAGACGACAGCCCACCAGGCTCCGCCATCCCTGGGATTCTCCAGGCAAGAACACTGGAATAGACGTACAGAATTCGGCGGTTTGAGTAGCTTCGGGCTTTAGGTCAAAGGTTTTTTCTATGCTAAAATCTTCCCTCCTCCGCCTCTTCTCTTTGGCTCGTCCCCTCAGTCTACTCCCCATCCCCGCCTCCTTGCCTGGTCCCAGCCACGCCTTGCAATGAAAAATACCGCCTTCTCTACGAAATCTTCCGGGTCGCCAGGCAGGGCCACGCCCAGCCTCAATCCGGCCCACCCCACAACTGGAGCGCGCTTCCCGGAAAGACGCATGCGCAAAAGGCTATAGCGGCGTCCTAGAGGAGGCACCCTCTAAACCTTGCGCAGGCGCGTTAGGTCGTGGTCGCGATGCGAGTTCTTGTGGGTGAGGGAGGGCCGGAAGGGGGTGGGGGCGGAGAGGGGGCAGGTTTGTAAAAAAAAAAAAAAGATACATCCAGAAATTGAGGGCTTAGGAGACTGTTTCTGAGAGAGGGTACCGTCTCGTGCACAGGCTACCTGGCCTTTGCCTCCAAGTCCTAGGGGCCGAATCTCCCTAGACCCTGTGTTTCACCCTGCACGCATCGCGGGGAGGGGGCAAGAAGGAGGGGAGAAGGCTGAAGTCAGATGGGAGGGCACCAGAGAAGGGGGCCACATGCGGGACGGAAGGCCCCCCCGGGAGGATAAACACCTCGCATTTTCTGATCAGGTGGCGGGACGGGCTTCATTGGGACAGCCCTAACCCAGCTGCTGAAGGCCAGGGGCCACGAAGTGACGTTGATCTCCCGAAAGCCAGGGCCAGATCGGATCACGTGGGTATGTCCATATTCTGGAGGCTTGGAAAGAAGGCTTAGTTGGGTGGCGCCGAGCGAGGCCTCGAGGCCACTGTGTGCTTTCTCCCACAGGATGAGCTCACGACATCGGGGTTGCCCCGCTGCGATGCTGCAGTCAACCTGGCGGGAGAGAACATCCTCAACCCTCTCCGCAGGTCAGCCGGGCCCTGAAGCTGACATTCTTCAGAGCAGAGGGCCAATTCTGATGGGAACTTGTGAGCAGTGGAGATTGGGGCTGGCAGATGGAGGACTCAACCCATATTCCGAACTGCTCGTTCCCCCACCCTCTCTCCTCCACACTCACTTGCCCTGTTTCCCACTCAGTCAGTGGACCTTACTCCCCATTCAGGATGCCCCAAGTACCTGTGCCTTTTCCCTCTACAGAAGAGATGGACCGTTTCTCTAAGCCGCCGTGAGGGCTTTACTAGGCGTGGATAGAGATGGGCTCCAGGGAAAGAGGGAAGGAAGGGTATGTGCATGTATTTAGGGTATTTTATTCCCCCGTGTTTCTCCTATGATTGAGCATGCATGCATGCATGTTTCTCCTGCAGATGGAATGCAGCCTTTCAAAAAGAAGTTCTCAGCAGCCGCCTGGAGACCACCCAAACGCTGGCTGGAGCCATAGCCAAGGCCCCACAACCCCCCCAGGCCTGGGTCTTAGTCACAGGTGTAGGTACGCCCCCCACATCACCAGCCCTTAGACTAACCCGGGAGAGGAGGCAGTCCAGTGAGGGGTAGCTCAGGCTGCAGAGTGCTGGTCTTTTCCAGGCACAGGATCTACCTAGGTCCTCATTCCACGCATATTTCTCCTGACTTTTGTGTACTTTCACTGAGAAATGGGGACCTCAGAGAAAGTGAGAGGAGTGGCACTGCTCCCAGTGCCTGAGAAAGCCCCACCTACTCCCAGGTCCCTTATTTCTCATAGCAGAGAGCTTTAGGAACAGAATTGTCAGTTTTTGTATTTTGCCTCTGGGACCAAATTTACACACACACACACATATGTTTAGTCACTCAGTTGTATCCCACTTTTTGTAACCTCACGGACTGTAGCCTGCCAGGTTCCTCTGTCCATGGGATTCTCCAGTCAAGAATACTGGGGTGGCCATTCCCTTCTCCAGGGCATCATCCCAATCCAGGGATTGAACCCACGTCTCTTGCATTACAGGCAGATTCTTTACCACTGAGCCACCAGGGTAGATATATATATATACACACACACATATACTATATACACTACATATACATATACGCTAGTCACTATTCTAAGTGCTTTGCACATATTCCACATAATCCTCACAAGAAACCTATGTGATAGGTATTATTCCTATTTTAAAGATGTAAAAATTCTGCACAGAGAGGTTATGTCATTTGCCTAAAGTGACAATAATTTTGGAGCTGAGATTAAAACTCAGGCAGCCTGGCACCAAAGTCTTTGTTCTTAGCTTCTGCACTCTGGCAGTCTCAGCTTAGCCCTCTAATGAAAGATAAGAATGACTCCAAGGCAGGAACAAGTCAGCTCATGAAGAAGTTGTAGGGGAAAATATCCATGGCTCTGACTACCCATGGAGAGATTCCCAAGGTGCCAAGGAGGGTGAGGTAAGGGGAGCCTTGACTGCAAAGGACCAGATGGGACAAAGGACACCCAGGGCAAACCAGTGCTGTTCCACCGGCAGCTTACTACCAACCCAGCCTGACTGCGGAGTACGATGAGGACAGCCCAGGAGGGGATTTCGACTTTTTTTCCAACCTCGTAACCAAATGGGAAGCTGCAGCCAGGCTTCCTGGAGATTCTACACGCCAGGTGGTGGTGCGCTCTGGTGAGAACAAGGGGTCTGGGTATCAGACGGGGTTGGAATGTCTTCTCGGGAACAGGAGGGGCTAGGGATAAGGGAAGCTGAGCTCACAGGAGATGCCACCACTTCTGGCTGACCTGCAGGTGGGAGGACGGACATCCCAAAGAGAGCCAGAGCCCTCACCTGCCACAGAGCAGAGTCAGTATAGGTGAAGGGTGATGAAGGGAAAGCGGAGAGGAACAGTGGGGGTGCCTGGAGGTCGAGGCACCTCCCTGTACCATCCTTCTTGCCTGCTCTAGGGGTTGTGCTGGGCCGTGGAGGCGGTGCCATTGGTCATATGCTGTTGCCTTTCCGCCTGGGCCTGGGGGGCCCCATTGGCTCAGGCCACCAATTCTTTCCCTGGATTCACATCAGAGACTTGGCGGGAATCCTGGCCCACGCCCTTGAAACAAGCCATGTGCAGGGGATCCTAAATGGAGTGGCTCCCACCTCCTCCACTACCAATGCTGAGTTTGCCCGGGCCTTGGGCGCAGCCCTGGGCCGCCCAGCCTTCATCCCTCTCCCCAGTGCCGTGGTACAAGCTGTCTTTGGGCAAGAACGTGCCGTCATGCTGCTGGAGGGCCAGAAGGTGGTCCCACGGCGGACACTGGCTGCTGGCTACCAGTATTCTTTCCCAGAGCTGGGGGCCGCCTTGAAGGAAGTCATAGCCTAAACAGGGAGGCTCAAGGCAGGGCCTGAGGCCTGTTCCTCAGTAGGGGCTTACCGGTGAGAGACTACATAAGCTCGGGTTCTCCTCTAGAGACTGAAAACCATCTGGTTCTTAAGCCCTCTTTCTTGCTCACTGTCCCACTGCCCCACCTTATTTAACTGAGAGATTTCCGCTATTTCAGGGTTACAGTTGCATTATGTTGGGACCTTAACTTCTTCAACTTCTTATAGATAAATATCTAAGTTTGGTCTCCTTGTGTGTCCTGTTCCTGCCCCATTTCTCCTCCTTGGTATTCAGATAATGTTTTGCAGTTTAGGCAATAAAGACAAATTAACTGACTAGCTTCAGCTCATCTCTTTGTTCTAGATTCTCCTGAAATTTATTTCAAGGAATGTCATCCAAGATGACCCTTTCCTTTACGTGGAGTTTTGAAAATGGTAACAGGCAACATCTCCCTTCTTGGTCTCTTGACTGCCAAAAGAGCTGGCAACAAATTTGAGGCACAAGGTTATAACAAAGGTAGAAGCGAGAAGGCAAGAGGAACAGTGATCCATTTCCAGTGGGCTCTGGGGTCACCCTGCACACCTCCTTGATGACACAGTGCTGTTAGGATACCAGCAGAGGAAGAAACAAGGCCAGAATCTAGGACAGCCTCTGGTCTGTTGCTGGAGAGCAGTGAATTGATAAACAATCACACACCAGCCTGTTCATCAAGCTGCAGCAGGACAAAGCTGTGCAAAGCTTAGGGCTGTCAGTAGCTAAGGACCTGCCTCTCATCTCAGGCCACTTCAGTCAACCAGAGGGCAGACGCTCCCTCAAGCCCACTGCACATCCACCAGCATTGAAAGTGAAAGGTACAAGGAACCTATTAAAAACTACAAACTCAAACATTTCGGGGGAAAAGAGTCCCAAGTATTCATCGAGGACCATCTCCTTCTATCAACCCTGATTTCTGCCAGAGTTTGACTAGAAGTAATTACCCTAGCCCCCAATTCAGACCATGTTAACCAATTTCGTTTCTTCTGAGGGGACCGTGGGTTGTCTTTGAATCACTGTCACCACCCCAACTAGTCTCTCCCCAGTACGACTGCCCCCAGCCCTGCTCAGTGGGGTGTACCTCATCCATGGGGCGGGGTGGCAACACTGGGCCCCAAGGACCTCCTCCATCATTCACCTCCAATGCTAGTTGCTGGTGTGAGAATCTCAGGTGATTTCAACTCCCTGTATCACTCAGGCAGCAGAAGTCAGAGCCTAAAAAGAGAGCCTTGTCCAGGGATTTGCTACAGGGCTCAGACAGCACTGAAGCCAGAGGCACCTGTCCTACTTCTTTATCTGGTCTTGGACTCTAGGAAGTTGCCTGGCTCTGTACTGTTCCTGAGGGAATGACTGGCCTCAAGGAAGCATACTTAGGGCTGCGCTAAAGGAAGGGCTGACTAGTACTGGCTATGGATGAATGTGCTGCCTTGGAGGTCGTAGATTCCCTGGCACGGGAGGACCTCAAGCAGATACAGGACAATGACATGTAGGAACCAAGGTGGACAGAGAAAGTCCTGAGGTGACAGCAGTTGGTCCGACTCTGATTCTTCCGTTTCCGTCTTCCAGATTAGTTCCTCTAGGTACAACCTCTATAAACCCTTCCCATCCGCATACACGCACACACGGAGCAGAAGTGGGATTCACTTTATGCGACATATCTGTTCTGTAGATAAAATGCTAGGGTCAGGTCACGTGGTCATTGTCCTCACAGAACATGGCTTCATCAGTTTGGTGACTGCTCAGCGCTCGAGCAAGTGCGTTAACCAGAGACTGGGACTATCCAACACATTCGTTCATCTGTAAACACCTGGATGCAACAGGAGAGCTGCCATTGAGAGGAACAAACCCTGAGAGTTTACTGGTAATGCAGTCACCCTAATTACCTGTTCTGTAAATGTGGATTGGGCGGGGAGGGTTGCCCAAAAGGGACGCAGCCATTACAGGGCACATTATACTGAGGATGCAGTGTTAAAATCCAGGACACAGGCCCTGGGGACAGAGGACCCTCAGCTCTCTGAAAGTGAGGTTCTGGTTAAGAAGCCTGTGCAACCACAGACAGACACACCTGAGACTTGGTCCAAGTACCTTTCGTCCAAAGGGTTTTCCTCCACGTTCTCATCTCTCCTCCCAACAGACGTTTTTACCCCCGACTTGTAGGCAGAAGTAAAGACCAAGATCAGTCAAGGTCACAGGCAGGCACAGCTGAGACCAGAAGCCAAGTCTCCCTCTGCCTTCTCCACCAGCTCGCTGCTGCCCCACTGTGACCCAGACCCCGGAACATGAGCCTTTCCAGGGGCCAGCATTCCCTTTGCTGCACCCAGGAGCCCAGCCAGGCCTGGGAAGCGTTCCTGTCCTCTGGCCTTCAGAGCAGCAGCCACGAGGAGGAAAGGCTCAGCTTCCCGGCCACCTGTTCTCCCTTCCCCTCCCACCTACCCTAGCCTCCACCCCCAGCTTGGCATGGAGGAGGGGCCAGCAGTCCCAGTCTCCGGCATCCACCCCTTGCAGCAGCCCCCGCTCCCTACAGAAACCCTGCGTAAGGCAAGGTTGAGAAATTAAGGCTTAGAAGAACCTCCTGAGAGCTGGTTGAGGTCCTGACTCAAGATGAGATCAGGTCACGTCACGGACCTGTCCCCAAAGTGCTCCACACAAGAGCATTCCTCACGTATGGATGCTCCTCCACAGAACCTCTCTGACAGAGCACCAACTCGGGGGAGAGACTGGGGCAGGGTGTGAGCAGCAGAGGGACCCTCAGGATGAGCTGAACTGGGTAAGACTGGAGCTGAGCGGGGGGGCGGCCACTCAGACAGGTGAGGCTCAAAAGTTGAGACTAAGCAGGGCCTCAGAGAGCTGGTTGATGTCCCGGCAGTACGGCTCACGCTGCAGGATGAAGTCCACCTTGTGATCCTGGCCCCAAAACACCTCCAGCAGTTGGCGCCGGAGGCGCTCTGTCTCCCGCGTCTTCCGAATGCCACCATTGCCTTTGTCCTCTTCTTTTCTCCCCTGCTGCTGATGACTGTGTTCTGTGACGCCCCTGGCAGAAGGCTGAGGTTTAGAAGACCCCGGTGCCCTGGGAAGAAGCAGAACAGAATGAGCTGAGAAGCATCCTAGAGCGAGCGAGCTTGAAGTTCTAGAAACTGACCTCCGAGTGGCAGTATCAACCCACTTCTGCAGGGAAGATGGACGGTTCCTTTGGAACCGGATGGTCAATCTCGCTTTAGTCTAATAATTACTTTCTGTCCAGCAGAGGGCGTACTCAATGCAACCAGCTATGAGTAAAAGCAACCATTTACCAAGTAACTCCGTCCAACACACTGATCAGGGAAAACAGGAAGCAGGAGCTTCCTTCCCAGCCTGAAGGGTCTGCGTCAGGATTCCTTGGGCCAGAGCCCAGGCAACCTGAACTAGTATAGAATAAAGCTGGCCTGGATTGAGTCATTTTTTTCACCCGACTCTCCAGGCCTGCTAGGCCCCCGCAGAGCAAGAGCAGGGCTGCCTAGGAGAGTGCAGGGCATTACCTGACCGGTTTCTTCAGGAACTCATCCAAGGTGGGGCCATTTCGCCCCAGGGGGTCATCCGGCACCATGAAGAGGTTTCCCACAAAGGTGAAGGGCAGCAGGCTGGATGGGCACAGAGAATGTGTGGTCACAGAGGGGCCCTTGCCCACTGCCCGGACAGCTAAGACCAACACCATCAGAAGCTGCCGGCTACCATCCTTCGCAAAGTGGTGTCAGCCCCTTCCCAGAGTCCTCAGCCGGTGGCAGATCAGAGCTGGTTCTAGGGAAAGGCCTGAGTCTGTGCCCTGTTCTCAGGGGAGGGCTCCCTCACCGCTCTCTGATGATTGCCATCCACGTCTCAGACTCCTCTGCCAGGTCCCGGAACTGGTCATTGGAGACAATGATCCCATCGGTCTCTTCAGCCAGCTTCACCATGAACCTGTCTCAAAAACCACAGCAGCCATATTGGGATTCAACAAGGTCCCAACCCCAGAGCACTTTATTGACGCCCATGACGCACTTCTAGTGATGGAGATCTGGCCCCTCACCTTGAACCAGCCACCAGATGACTGACTGGATACAGGCACCATGGGTTAGGAAGAAAACAAAGATGAACCCTTCCATGTCTCCCAAGAGCAACCCCTCCAGTCACCACAACCCTCCACAACACTCTGTGCCTTGTCAATATGAGACAGAAAGACCTAGCCCTTGCTCTGTCTTCTTCCCCGCTGCCCCTTGAATCAGTCACAGATCCCTCATGCGCCTCCCCTGAGGCCTTCCACTCTGCTTCCTTCATTTCCAGTCCTGCCATTACCACCTGAGCTACTTGGACAATGCAACTGAGGTACTACTGCACAGCCTCCTGATAAGGGGGTCTCCTGCCCCCAGCCGTTTACCACCCTCCAGCCTCTCCTCCCCTGAGAGAACATGCTCTTCCCCTACACAAAAGTCTTCCAAACTTGCCCTTTATCCAGCAAATGTTTCCACATCCCAGGCTTGGCAGCTAAGGCCTAGCAACCAGCTCCAAGCCACTGTTAAGGCCTTATCTCCTCCCTCCCTCCCTAAGGCACTCACAGCTCCTGAAAAAAATCAATGATCAGATTTCACCCTGTTCTTCAAACATGCCCTGCGCTGTCTGATTTTCATGTTTCTCAAACTGTTCCCTTTATTCCCTCCATCTGGAAGGAAACCAGACCTAACTGATGAGAGGAATCTCAAGGGGAACGTCAAAAAAACAGATGCCTGGGCCCCATTTTATAATTCTGATTCCATAGGACTGGGGTAGAACTCACGAGATGAGTCCTTAACAGGTTTAGAAACCAAGAGATCCAATGCATCCAATATCCTTGTCAATCAGCAAAAACTCTCAAATCTTCCCTTCCCACAAACCCCAGCCAGAAGGGAGATCCCTTTCCTCTGAATTCTGTAGTGTTTGGTTTACAGTTTCTTTGGGCTTTTTGAAGTGACGAATCGAGTCTTCCCTGATTCCTGCCTCCTTCGGTAGGCCAGACACCTAGTACCACACAGGCAGTCAGTATCTGAAAAACAGTGTGGTATAGCCTTGGTCGTTCGGTCGTGTCCAACTCTTTGTGACCACATGGACTGTAGCCTGCCACACTCCTCTGTCAGTGGGATTCTCCCATCAAGAATACTAGAGTGGGCAGCCATTCTCTTCTCCAGCAGATCTTCCTGACTCAGGAATGGAACTCGGGTCTCCTGCATTTCAGGCAGATCCTTTACTGTCTAAGCCACCGGGGAAGCCCTAGTGTGGTATAGAGGGGACATTAATCAGGATTCAGTATGACAGATGTCTGGCTGAGCTTCTGTCTGGGAAACAAATTAAAGAGATGACATTATAAATATATATGGTATCATATAATATACAACATGTATTTTCAAATTAAAGATAATTGTACTATTATCACATTAGATCGTATGTTGTTCCACAGTATTCAGTAGGTCTGTGCTATGTCACTGTGTTTTTCACTGTAACTAGGCAAAATACAAAATTTATATTGTACCTCTGCCTATCAGGACCTATACAACTGTACAGACACATGTCTTCAAAATTTATTACAAGTGACTCAACCTTCAGTTTTAATTCTGTGTTAATGCTGGCATGTAAAGAAGGTTCTCTATTTCAGATAACCTGTGAAATCTAGGCATAAAACAGAACTGCATTGGGAGAATGTGAACTGTCTTTTTTGTAGAATACCTGTTAGGGAGTAAAAGCTAAGCATTTGAAAAAACAAAATATATAATCAGTACAGCTTGGGAACTCTTTTTTAAATTAAAACTAAGAATCCTAGAGAATAAAGAACTTACCACCTTAATTTTTTCAAATTAGTTAGCTTTTGAAATCCACCCATGGGACTTCCCTGGTGGTCCAGTGGTTAAGAATACACCTTCCAATGCAGGGAATGAGGGTTCAGTCCCTGGTTGGAGGAACTAAGACCCCACAGGCCACAACAAAGATCCAGTGTAGCCAAAGGGAGGGGAAAAAGTCTATTAAAAAATAGTAATAATAAGTAAGATCCACCTGTCTCCCACACTGTGTACATCAGAGAGGACATGTCTTGTGTTCTTCAGTTAAACCATCTAGCAACTTTAAGTTCCCATTCTTCCTTTGCCACGTCATAACCTTTGCCAAGAGAATTAACTACTCCGACCCGGTCTCCATTTCTGTACAATGGAGAGAAGACGCGCTGCCACACTTGATTGAGTCTGTGAAAAACTAAAGAATATCACTGTCCTCCAACAGAGCACCTTGAGTGAGGCAAGCACGTACCTTAGCTTCTTTTGACATTCACAATGAGGATGAATAAAAGGAAGAGGAACTGAGACAAAGAGGTTAATCCACTAAGAGAATCCACAGTGATTATGCAAGGAGACTCAGATTCAGACCTTCAAATTCTAAGACCACTGATCTTTCACTTATCTTCTTTTGAATACCAGGTTTTGTACAGCCGTATTATGCATGGAATCCATTCTTTATTTATCATTATTTGGTTTGTTTACTCTGGTTTTCCCAGAAGGTTGGAGAATTTCTCTATGTGTTTGGACATCTAGGTTGTAAGAGGCATTTGTCAGCTAGCTATTCCTATCACCGGCTTTCCCATGTCTCCATTAAACCAGTGTTTTCTAGATGGTAAGGTACTACCATCTAGAAAATAGTACCATTAAGATGGTACTATTAATATAAATACGAAGCATCCTTTAGTTTGATAAGTGAAAAAGTGAAGGATGAAACAGAGTTGTCCACCATCCATCTCATCCTGTCTGCAGGGCAGGTTTACCTCCCCAATCATAGGGGCACATGGAGAAGTGGCCCTTTTCCCACCACTCAAGTCTTACAGTGTGAAGGGGCCAGAGTTTCTGTCTCCCCCTCAGTCTTCCACCAGGATCCCTGAATGTCGAGTCTGTGGATAAGAGAGAAGCAAGTACCTGTCATCATAGGAGGAGATCCTCTTGCCATCCAAGACCCGGGAGGGTGTGAGGGAGAGCAGGCTGAGGGAATACAGCTTATGCAGGAAGTGACCCTCTAGAGAAACAGAGGAGCACAGTGGGGTTACCCCCGAGGTGAACGCGGGGCCCATCCCCAGACACAAGAGACCAGGCCCAACTCACCTCTGACCTTGGAGTCCTTACTGAAACGCCACTGAGGAACAAAGACAGTTATGTCGCGGTGGCCTCGGTCCCAGAAGTACTGCACAGCAATGGCAATGCCCCGGCTGGAGAAGTAGTGCTGGAGGCCGTGCCTGCAGTGGGAAGGGGTCAGCACTCAAGGGCCCTAGAGTGGAGGCCTGGCAGCCTGGCTGGACTGCCCGCCGCTTGGCACATGTCCCCAAGATGAACACAACTGCCCATCTCTACCTCATCCCCCTCCCTGGGACCCTCAGCCCCACCAGGTACTCACACCATGGCCACGTTGCTGCCATCGATGACAATATGGCGGAGGTCTGGCTTGCCCGGCACGTTAGCAAGGCACAGGGTGAAAGGGTCTTGGAGAGCCTCCTGGAAACGCTGTGTGCCAGTCACCAGGTTGCCCCCTCGGGTGCCTCGTTTCCACGGAGACCCCCGGCCTCGAGCCACAACCACCTGCTTGTCTGCCCGGTCTCCGCGGTCCCCCCGGTCCCCACAGTGCCACGGGGGTTCAGGCGCAGGTGGGGGGCTGGGCACTCTTGGAGGTGAGGCTTCCCCATTATGGAGCCGCTGGAGGAGGGAGGCTCCCCGGAGCTGAGATGCCCTCTGATAGAGGCCCTGGGTACCAGGAGGCTGGCCCTGGACCCCAAGCCTTCCTCTTTCTTGGGGAACTCCCTCCTTCCCCAGGGCCTTCCCCTTCAGAGGCCCTGCCTGCCCCGCCTCTCCTCCTCCTGACTGTGGCCTGAAGGCCACTAGTCTCTCCCAGGCCTCTTCCCCAAGCCACTCCTTCCACCCCAAATCCATCGCCCTGGCCCCAGCTGGCTTTGTTCCCTCTTTCTCCACGGCATGTCTCTCTCCCCTTGACTCTTGCCACCCTGTAGGTCCCGTGTCCAGAGACACTCCACCGTCACCCAGGGGAGTCCTGACTCCCTGCTGCTGAGCACCCAGCGGACCTGGGCCGCCCCACCCCCAGGACGGGAATGCTTGGGGCCCCTGCCCCCGGGATGCCTCCTGCACCAGGCTCAGCAGCTCCTCCTGGATGGCCTGGGGCAGCTGCAGCAGGGCCTCTGTGTGGGCATCCCCCCGGGCCTGCAGCAGGGCAGAGAACTCTCTCGGCACTCCAGCACACTGAGAGGCTCCAGGGGATGGCCCCAGACGAAAGTCCCAGCTCAGCCGCTCTACCAGCTCCTCCACTCGACTCTGGACCATGACGAAGGCCTCAGTCAGGCCACTGACCATCAGGGAGCCGGGCACTCCCGGCACCAAGTGGGCAGATGTGCTCCAAGTCAGGCAATCAAGGAAGAAGCCCTGGGCTCCCAGAAAGATGCAGTGCAGTTTGGGTGGGTAGTGGATTTCATTCTGTATCTCCGGGCTACAGAGACCCTTCAGGTACTCCTGGGGGAAAAGGGAGGGAAGGGAAGTAGGAAGAAAAAGGAGATTGCTGGAATCTTAAATGGTCCGATAGCCCCTGCAGGCCCACTGCTGTCTCCTGAGCTCCAGGATGCCTGGGCAGAGAAATGGAGCCCTATAGATCCTGGAAAAGGTGGGGATTAAAAGAGGACAGAGAAACTCACTTTCTCCCTTTTCAGGTGACAACCTGTGGCTGAATTTCCATTTAGAACTCAACTCAAGATATTGTTATAAGTAGTTGGTTAAAAGGCCGTCTCTTCTAAACATTTATGTGTGTGTATGTACGTTGCATATTTCCATCATAACGATCATCAACACTAACTTTTACAGAAGTCATGCATTATGCCTTACGTGCTTTATCTCATTCACAGTAAGTTCAGTGAGGTGGATACTGTTATTATTCATACTTTAAAGATAAGGAAACTGAAACTAGGACTACAAGGATAGTATTCAGTGGTGGTGCCTTACTGGAAGCCCTGACTAACTCCAGAGGAAGCAATGTGGCCTCCCACCACACAGTGAATTCCTTGGTGGGGCCTGCTTGCCCAACCAGATTATCTGTTCTCCCAAAGAGTACAAACTGATTTGACCTGAATCACTTATTTCCAAGCCCTGGCAGAACCTGGGTCATTACAGCAGAAATGAAACCAAAACTATGGACAGAGAATGTGCAAGTTCCTCAAAGCTCAGGGCCAGTGAGACAAGCAAGAAGTGAAGATCCTCCCCAGCCCCTCCTCTCTCCTGCCTCCACGGGGGAGGGAGTCATTGCTTCCCCGGAAGGGTCAAGGAGAGGCATTCACCTTGGCTCTGCTGGCGTTCTCTTTGGGGCCCTCCAGCTGCAGCCAGATGTGAGGGTTCTCAGGACAGTCCTTCGGAAGGACGCTCATCCCCACCCTGAAGATGCGCTCAACGTGGGGCAGCTGCTCCCGCACCGTGTCCTCGGCCTCCGCAGACACCGCAAAGCGGTCAGGGGACTGGGAGCCGGCCCCCCAGGTAGGCATGGCTGCTTGGCCGCCCAACCCTGGAAAGAGGGAAAGCAGCTCAGAGCCTTTATGTCCCCTCAGCCCAAATCTTGGTCTCCTAGCCTAACCAGCTATCAACAGGTCGCACCTAGTTATCAAACCTGTAAACAACCCAGGAGGTAACAGCACTTCAGTCCAGTTGCAATAGGGAGGGAATGTCGGATTATCTGGACACGGGGGCCTTCTCCCCGGAGGCGAAGTCACGGATAAACAAGACTGTCTATCTGGGATGGCCGTATGGCCTTTGGAAAATGACGACCACAGCCCTGAGCAGGAACGGGGAGGAGGATCCAGCTGGGTCTGGAGGCCAGAAGGAGTGGACAGGTGACGAAAGAGCCCCTCTCCTCCGGGTCTCTGCAACCTCCGGGTCCAAGACGGCCTCTTAGAGATGAATCCTCACCAGGGCTTGAACTGGGTTCTCCTCTGGGGTCCCTCGTCGGCCATTTCCGAGGTTCTGGCCACTCCCACCCCTCCCCCTCCCTCTGCTGCCCCCCTCGGTCGCGCCACGCGCCCCACGCTGGGCCGAGGGGCCGAGCCGGGCCCCGCCCACGGCCGCTGGCGGCTGCCGCCCCCCGCCTGCGCTCGGCACTGCGCCCTCTGGCTCCCGCAGCCCGGGCGCGGGGGAGAGCGCGCCTACCCGCCTCGCCGCCCGCTGCGGCCTCGGTCCCGCCGGCGCCGCTCGGTGCCCGCCGGCCCCAGCTTCGCCCGCGCCCCCGGCCCAGGGAAGAAGGGCGGGGGGCCCGACTCGGGGCGGGCCTTTCCGATTCCTCACCCAACGGGGACCTCTCTTCCCCACATCACAAACAGTTTTTTGAGTCACTTCCTGGCCGGGGGCGGAGTCAGCTGGGCGCCTCCCGGGGCTGGGCCAGCACCGAGCCGCGAAGCGCGCCCCCGCCCCCGCCAGCCGCCAGCTGCTCCCCGCCCCCGGCCCGAGCCCATGCCGCGGCCCCGGTCCTGGCCCCAATCGGGGCCCCGCCCCCGGCCCCGCCCCCGGCCGGCCCGCCCCGCCCCGCCCCCTCGCCCGCCGTGGCTGCAAGCCTGCCGGGTCAGCGCTACTCGCTCCTCAGAGTTTTGAGTCGCTCCGCGCAGTTGTTTCTCAGGAATGAGGAACCACTTCATGGAGAGATGGAGGTGAAGAGGGCCTTAAAGGGACGAATCCAGTCCCTTCGGATAACGATATAGAAGACCAGGGAAAGAAAAAGACTGGCCCAGGGTCACAGGATAGTGACACCCTTGACCCAAGCACTTTCCACCAAAACAGTTAGGGGGAAAACACAAGAACATACCCTTTCTTCCAACAGTGGAAAAGATACTGCTAAGAGGGCTGCTGACTTGTGAAGGATTTTGAAGAGGGGAGGAGTGAAGAGGAAAGGAATGTCACAGATATGCGCGCGCGCGCACACACACACACACACACACACGTGCACTCACAATCTTACACAGAAACCCATGTTCTCTGTGGTCCCAGTTCCAGCCTGCAGCGCTCTCCGGAGGGGGCTGCCCTGGGGTTCTGGTTGCAGCCCTCCTGTCTGGCTGGCTCATTTCTCCTCTCCCTCCCAAAGCCCAACTGCTGTTATTTTGTGCCCGGCCAAGGAGGAGGGAACTGCAGTGACAGCAGGAGTGAGAGGCAGGACAGAGTCGTGGGGCATGGAGACGGATGGAGAGAGACGCCAAGACCAGGTGACCAGGAGTCCCAGAGAGAGCGCTGAGAAGCAGGTTGAGGGGTGGTGAGAGCCTGGGGGAGAGGCAGGAAGAACCAAGGAGCAGAAAGAGAAGGTTTGTGGGTCACAGAGCCACTCAGCCATGCTGGGAACAAAGCGACCCTGGCCGCCAGGTCCCTCCTTCAGCCTGGGGTTGCCTTTGGCCCTCACACTTCTGGCCCTGAGGGCCGGGTGGGCCCAGGAGGGGACAGAGCCAGTCCTCCTGGAAGGCGAGTGCCTGGTGGTCTGTGAGCCCAGCAGAGCTGCTGCAGGAGGGCCAGGGGGAGCAGCCCTGGGAGAGGCGCCCCCTGGAAGAGTGGCATTTGCTGCAGTCCGCAGCCACCACCACGAGCCCGCAGGGGAGATCAGCAATGGCACCAGCGGAGCCATCTACTTCGACCAGGTAATGCCCCTACCCTGCAAAGACCTGGAATCACTGTCCAAACCCACTCTGCTGCTAAGGAAATGGCCCTGCTGTGGGGCCCGCTGCCCGTCTGCTTTCCCTTCACTCCCACCATACCTTCCTTCCCTTTCTCATCATTTCTTTTCAGTCTGTCCATTCTTCCTGTTTAGTCTACTTACCACCCCTTCCTTTCCTTACTCACTGCCCCTTCCCCCAATGCTGTGGCTTCTCGGAGCCCCAGGCATCCCCCAGCCCCGCTCAGCAGGGTCTGCTTCCCACAGGTCCTGGTGAACGAGGGAGGTGGCTTTGACCGCACCTCTGGCTCCTTCGTGGCCCCTGTGCGGGGTGTCTACAGCTTCCGATTCCATGTGGTGAAGGTGTACAACCGCCAAACTGTCCAGGTGACCTGAACCCTAGGCCCTGTCCCATCCCTGGCTCAAGAGGGGAAGGGAGGAGGGGAGCGCAGGGGACCCCCAGGCAGACCTCCATTAACCTACATCCTGGAGGGCCAGGAGCAAGTAGGGGCAGGGCCTGCTTAGCAGAGACTGTCAAGGAGGCACAGAGTCCAGTGCTGGCCACCTCTCAGCCATCCAGGAGGGCGCACTGAGCCCCAGGTTCCCAGGTTCCAGAGTGTCTCTCTGTGGCTGGAGTAAAGGAGGGAAGTGGGGTTCCTGGGACAGAGGTGCTAACTGGATTCCCCTCCCCAGGTGAGCCTGATGCTGAACACATGGCCTGTCGTCTCGGCCTTTGCCAACGATCCAGATGTGACCCGGGAGGCGGCCACCAGCTCTGTGCTGCTACCCCTGGACCCTGGAGACCGGGTATCTCTGCGCCTGCGTAGAGGGAACCTGCTGGGTGGCTGGAAATATTCAAGCTTCTCTGGCTTCCTTATTTTCCCACTCTGAGGGCTCAAGCCTTTCAAGGATGGAAACCTAGCCCCTGACCTTTGCCCTCTGCCCTCTGCCCTCTGCCCCAGAAGTAGTCTTTAAGGCAGGAGAGAGATGCCCTCTGGCTGCATTTTTATTCCACTTGCTTGCATGGGACCCTGTGCCAGACATCCAAGGTGAGGAGTAGAGCTCTGGTGTCTCAGGACCTGCCCTTCTTACTCCACCCCCACAATTGCCCCCCCCCACCCCCCAGCCTCCCACTGCATCTCCTGCCTGCAGTCCTTGGATCAGGGCAGGGTTTGGCAGGTAGGGAGACCTGTGCTACTTTGCAGACTCTGCTCTTTCTGTCCCCCACCCCGCCACCCCTGCTTCCTGCTTGGTGCTATTTGGGAACAGGTGGTTCAGGTGAGCCTGACAGGCCCCTGCATGGGACCAGATGGCCCAGCCTTAGCATACCCAGCAGGCTCCTTCCTGTGAGGAGGGCCAGCATCACAGGTCTCAGCCATTGCAGTCAGAAGCTGAGCCAGCACTGTGTGGGCCAGGGCAGGAGGGAGGCTCAGCCACTAGCAGAAGTGTAGGGAGGGCGCAGAGAGCCCGTGACTGGTGCAGCAGGAAGGGGGCATGCACCAGGCTGAACACAGTACACACTTTCCATGTACACTGGGGCAGCCAGCAAACGTTGAACCCAGGCATCTATTTGTGGCAGATCCCAGATGGACTCTGGCCCTCACCTCTCCACCCAAGACATGGGGTGTGTATGTTTGCTTTGGCTGAGAGCAGGTATACAGAGCTTCTTTTGGCAGCTGGAGATAGAGGTAGGTCACACACAGGCCATGGTAGGTTTCCAGTGACTGTGGCTGCCTCCTAATGTTGCTCTACCTTTATAGTCTGAAGTTCAATCACTTCATGCTCTGACCACCACCTCCTTCCTCCCAGCTCTCTCACTGACCTTCACTGTACCTATTTCACACATCCCACAACCTTCCTTCTTTCTCCTGATTTATGGCATCTTATCCTCCTTCTCAGACTTCCTGTTACCTTGGGTTCCATGGTGCATCTCTTCAACCACTCTCCTGCCAGTATTATAAACTTTGTCTCACCTCTCTGTCCCATTGGCCCAGCATGGATGACCCTATCATTAAAGTAATTAGAGAATGATGGTCGGTGAGATGCTATAGGATCGCTAAAGAGAGAAGATGCTGTTACAGCTAGGTTCAGGGATTACAGGATACAAGAAGGTATGTTGTAGAGACAATAAATGTAAAATTGTATGTTAGAGTCAAATAAAAAAGGATTTGGTAGTGCTTGAGTTAAATAGGAAATACCAATGTGAAGTTGTGGTTTTCCAAAAGAAATTACTTTTTCAAACTTTATCACTAAAGTAGCGTGAAACATCAGGGGAAAATCTGATGTGCATTCTTAGCACCTGGATCTTTGCCTCAAATATTATTCAACTTTAAAGGGATTCAGGCTCCCTCAGAGAATAGTTCCATGCCATGAATAACTCTAGGCCTTGAACCTATTGGTGAAGACGAAAAGCAAAGATTTTTTTTTTTTAATGTATAGGGTAGATCTATGAAGGCAAAGGAGCCAATTTTAATAGGCTTCCACAAATTGACCTTTGTGGAATTTGTGACAATTTGATAATCAAAAGGAAAATAATATAGTTAATTGGAACAAGGTGAATTTTTAAAATCCACAACTCTGTTGTGTTTTTCAAAAAGAAAAAAGGAACTATACAAGGTGCAAAAAATGTAGTTAATATACTGAGTGAAGAAGTATGACCATAATAGGATATTTTTAGTTAATTTTGATAAGTAGAAGAGTATAAATATAGCAGATATTATATTTACTCATAAGGCACATTTATTTTTCTTATCTGCATAAATAGAGATGGGTGGATCAAGAAAGCTCTGAGTAATTCCAGAAAAAATTGGAAATGCACCAAAAATGAAAGAGATTGATTGGCACCATCTGGTCATATATTACAACTAGGAAGGAAGAAATTCCAGCAGTGTGTTACATGATGATGAATTAGTCAAACATCCAAAAGATTACTGCTCACTGCTCAAACATGATCCTTCATTTCTTGGGAAAGAAAGCCTCTATACTACCCTACTAATTATAATCAGATTACAGTAACAATAAAACCCAAAATAATACTGGCTTAAACAAAATGGTAGATTATTTCTGTCTCACATAGGAGAATCTGCAAATAAAGAGTCCCGGAGTGGATGGCAGTTTTATGATCATCACAGCCCAATTTCCTTTCTGCTGTTCCACCACCTTTAGCATATCACCTTCTGACCCAAGATGGCTCTTTGATCTCCAGTCATTACATCAACCTTACAGTCCCCAGGAAGGAGGAAGGAAGGACACACCCATTTCCTTTAAAAGAAGCTTTCTGAGAAGTACATCCAAAAATTCTGATTGCATCTCATTGGCTAGAATTTTGTCATATATATCCACATCGGGTAGGGGTGGAAAGGCTAGAAAATGAATCCTTATTCCAGGCAGCCATGTCCAGCTAAATGTCAGGAGTTATATAATAAGAAAAAAGGGGAGATTGGATATTGGGGAAAACAACAATATTGGAGGTATTGGGGGAGTTTGTAAAAATGTAAATGAGCTAAATAAATTTTTAAATGATGTCAGTAAAGTTATTGTATTAGTTTTCTATTGCCCTGTAACAACTACCACAAAGTTAGTGTCTTAACACACTTTGACTGATTTATTATCTCACAGTTTCTATAGGTCAGAAGTCCAGCAAAGCATGACTGGATTCTCTGCTCAGGATTTCATTAGGTCATGTAGGCAGGGCTGCCATCTTTACTGAACTGAAAGAATCCATTCCCAAGCTCATTTAGAATTCAGTTCCTCATAGTTGTAGGATTGAGTTTCCTACCCATCAATCTTTGGGCCAACAAGGTCAGGCCAGGTACTTCTCACAGTACTTCTCTGACCTACCCTTAGGTTATGTCTCTGACTTTAAAAATTCTCTAACTTTAATGGCTCATATGATTAGGTTGGGCCCACACAGATAATCCAGGAAATCTCTCTAAGACCTTTAACTTTAATTACATAGAAAATGTCCCTTTACCATTAAACACAGGAGGTTTGGGTGTGGACATCTTTGGGACATCTGCATGTTATAATCATTACACTTAAAGATGAAATAATTTAAAGAGAAAGTATCCAGTTACATTACACTAATTTGTGGGAAAAGTGTGGACTTGAAAAGTTCCAGTGATGTATAAGATAAACACTGGCTCATATTTTCATCATCTTAGAAGGTCAAGTAGTTCCCAAGTCCCAACCAAGAATTCATAATTAATGATAATAATTAATAATTTGATTAACAATTCAAAACATCATCTCACTGAGATAATATTCTTCTATTGGATATCTAAATTCAATAATTGGTCTGAATTGAGATAATGTCCTCTTGGGTTTACAAACCCAGTTTTATAATGAGTGTAAGTGTAAAAAAGTTTATAATCCTTATACATGTGCTTTACCAAAATGTTTGAAGCATGTAGAGAAGCTGACATATTATAATGATGATTCTATTGAAATGTGTAGGAAGATTTAAATTTGCGGTTAATGTTTAGATAATTTGATTTGCAAAATGTATAGATTTTGACTTGGTTATATAAATAGTGTTTAAATATATAGACAATTTTTGCATAAGTAGTTTTGTGAAGTAAATAAATTAGACAACAAATAAAGCACAGATGGTGGCTAGTGTTCCTCTTCAGGCACAAAAATCTCCTAGGACTTTAAGGAACCTAAGAATAGAATCCAACTGTCCACCTTCTCTACACCCACGCCCTGGCAGCTGATTGCTACAAAGAAGTCCTGCTGAAGGATATGCTGTGGTTCTAAATCCATGGTCTCTAGCTGCCCCTGGTCCTCTGTCCTCCCAGCAGTTCTTCTGTGGTTTTCTTTGCCAGCTTCTTTTCTCATCCTCCCCAGAATCCAGCTGAAGACTTCTGTTCTGTCCTTAAACCTCTTACTCCTCCTACTCTGCCCCCACCTCCCGCAGCAGACTCTTCACTCTGCTTCACTGAGAAAGCAGAAACCCCAGGAGAGACCCTCCCACCAGCATATCCGGAAACTCACCGTCCTCATCTCTCCTTCCTATCTGGCTCAGTAGAAGTCGTGTCCTTCTCATCCACCAGTCGTGGATTCCGTTTCCTGCAAACATAGCCTTTTCTTTTCCTCTCCTCCCTCCTGTAGGTTCGATGTCTCCCTCCCCTCTCTTCCTCCTTCTGTTTAGCTGTTAAATAGACTCAAATCTCTTAAATCTAAAACAGAAAGAGATGGATGTGGAAACAGTGGTAGACGTGTAGTTACGCTCAGCTTTATATGCTAGTGAGCGTCACCTCTCCTCCCCTTTAGAGCCAGATATCTATGCGCACAGGTTGCTCACCCCTTAAGTCAACTGTGGCCTCTGCTGCTCTATCTGAACTGCCCTCAGCTGGTCACTCAGGCCTCCCGCGTCACTAATGTCACTATCGTCTAGTCCTCTGTCGCTCAGGCTCTCCCTAACATTTGACCCTGTTGGCCACCCGCTCCTTCTAGAAGCACTCTCCTGCCCCCACTTCCCTGACTGCACACGCTCTGGGCTCTCCCTCCAACTCTCTTGAGGCCTTTTTCAGGCTCCTGTACCCCGGCCCATCTCCTAAATGTCAGTTTCTCTCGAGGTTCTGTCTTAGAATTCCTTTTGTCCTGACACAATCTCAAAAGCACGAGTCTCCATCTGACTCTTTGTGGAACTTCCACATTTTTTTAATCTACAGAACCTCCCTCCTAAATCTCAGACTTGTACATTGCCTATCCCACCTTAAAATAAACCTGCTAAAATTAGTCTTTCATCCCTAAATCTGTTTCCTCCTTTATTCTCTGTGTCCAAAAATAGACCATCCCTGTTGCCCCAAGGAAATACCAGCCACAATCCTTCCTCCCTCTCCCACAACCCCCATCCAGTCACTCACCTCCATCAGTTGCATCCATTG